CGGGATTGCCCAGGAATGAAGTCAGCAGTTTATGCATGGTGCTGATCCACCATGCAGCAGGGCCCATAACCCATCGAATCACTCTCCTCTTCCCGTGGCCTGGTGGTATCCAGAAGTGCTGGAGATGCTCAGCGCTTCCCGTCAGCCTTTTCAATGCGGAGTTTAGGAAACCTACGGAGCCAGCTTATATCCACTGAAGATGTCTGCCCGGTCTTGCCAATCTGCTACCTCAAGCAGTAGATGAGCATGGTGGGTAAAATGGCTCTGATGGAGCTACCCCTGATGCAGGTCGTAAACCAGGAGAGGAATCCGAGTCCCTCAAAATCACTCGCAGTCTGCAGTGTGGATTTGAAACACCATCCTCCAAACTAACAGCAAAGGAAAACCAACTGGTGGGCTGACCCCAAAGCTCGTTGCTTTTCTTTCTTTTTCCCTTGTGTGAAAACTAGTTCATGGCAGCCACGTAACCGCTCCTTCTCTAAGAAAGCTGCCGTTGGTCCCTACGAATGTGCTGAACCTGATGTCAAGGAGGCGACACGTGTTTAAAATTAATTGCCTGTTTTCCAGACTGCAGCTGTAACGAGGCAGGCCCAGGAGCTTACTTGGAAAGGGAGATCCTCTGAGCAGCCTGTGTGCTGGGAGATGCGTTCAGAACAATAGCTGCTCTATTCTCTGATGTCGGGCTCGGTCTTGCTCCCTCTGAAAGCTATAAGAAGGGGACTCAATCTTTTCAGCTTGTCTGTGGCATAGACATGCCAGCTTAGTCTATTTATAGCCCTGAACCATTTAATTTTTCTTGCCTCTATTACCCATTTATCAGCCTTCAGATAGGATGCAGTGTAGCTACTAACGAATGCTTTCTGTAGCCTGGCCATCAGAGAGCCTTCTCAGAGAAGCGCAGCCCGCCTCCCTCTGGGAAATGGCAATCTCTGGGTCAGAGATGAGGAATCCAGACTGTAGCTGCAACATTGTAATGTCTTGCAATTAGTGCCTATTCAGATGCATCGCAGCTCGCTTTCTTTCATTATTAAATGTTATTTCTCTTATTAGTTTAGGCTTTTCAAATTTTCCCTCCAGCTGATTAAATATTAAGGCTGGAGCACCAAAAAGGCCACTCTGTATTCCTCACATCCCTGAAAGTGAAAATATTTATTGTCAAGGTTTGAAACTTGAGTCTGTTCAGAAACAAATTAAATTTGCTACTAAATAAATTTAATATCAAACTGATGTACACACACACAAGTCACTTGAAACTCATTAGATACAAGAAGACTACTGAAATGTCAGCTATGTTTTCTTTCTAAAGGCCAGAGATTTCTTTTGCGTGCAGTAGGTCAGAAGCATTTTTCAGAAGAGTGCCAAATACTCCCAGGAGCATTGACTACAGGCATCGACCATCTTTCACATTTATTTTAATTCTTACACCTCAGAGTAGTTTAATAATGAAATTCTAATAAAATTCCACATGAAAACAAGCTACAGATCTCTGCTGGCGTGCAAGGGCATGAACTTTCTCGTGTAGAGCATTATTCATTTAGCTATTTTGTATAATTATTTTGAAGCCAAAACAATTAATGATGCCCTTGACCGAGAGAACTTCTGGTGTTAAAACCATCTATAAATGACACCTTCCTTTGCAAAGAAAACCTCACAGATACCGTTTTAATACTAGCAGGACCTGAGGTTTCTCAGAGTAAAAGGTCTTGCCTCTCATACAGCGTGAGTAAAGCAGTGGAAGAAACCTGCCATGCAAAGCCTGAGCTGCCCCATAAAGCTCTGCACGAAGGATGCGATGCGCCGTTTGCATGGCACGGCCTGGCTATCTCAGCAGGGAGAGCGCACCCCGAAAGGGACGCTTGGGCTGCCCGCGGCAGAGCTCGCACGCTGGCTGTGTTACCGGCAGCCCCGGGGACAGGCAGCCCCCAGCACTGGCAGGGGGGCCCGGACACGCTTCTTGTTTTCTTCACTGTTGCACTGCCCACAGAAGCCCTTTCTCCGGAGTAATGGTACGATGCTGTACAGGGCTGCAGTTTAAGATGTTGCTAGTTTAAAATGTAAAAATCACTGACGGATTGCTAGTTTAAAATGTAAATTCATTTCTGACCCTGGTTACAGAGGGAAGGGAAAGAAGAAAGTTAAAGTCTCAGTGCCCACATGCGTCCTGGCTGTGAGACAGCCCCAAAGCTTGCTCACATTTTCCTAGCTATCATCAAAAGCACAAACTGCAGCTCAACAAATGCCCCGGCTTTTCATTCTCCCTATCGCTTGTTCTTTGCGCTAATGCCAGCCAACATCTGTTCCAGATGAGAACTCCAGAAATAATGAAAAACAAAGTGAATGTAAGAACAAAATAAATAATGTAAGGAGCAGTGATCAGACTCTGAATCTGTGTACTCAGTTCAGTAGTAAGCTCAATATTTAGAGTATGGTTACATGCTAAAATGAGGATGTCCTATTTTCCTCCACCTTCTCCTTTCCCCTCCTCTGGCTCTTGGGGAGCTGATTCAACTTACTAACCCAGTAGAAATCTAATCCAGCAAAAAAAAGGGAAGCGGTTTCTGCTCGGTTACTGAGCTAAAATAGGTCCACCATATGGTCAGCTGAAGGGAGGGGGTGGGATTGCATGGCCAGGAGCGGCAGCGGCCACAGGAAGAAAAGAAGGACTGGCAGAAAACCTTATTCTCATCGTCAGGTTAATTTTCTTCAGATTTATGTTTCAACTTGGGGTAAGGCAAAGCCGAAAGCTGACGTGAGAGAGAGGGACGGGGGGACACTATGCGACTGGTGGTATGGAGGGAGAGTACCAATGTGGCCACTGGTAATTAGTTCTCCCTAAGCTGTCTTGGAAATCCAGGTTTAGCTCCTTGGCGGTGCCCAGAGTGCTCTTCTCGCCAGAGAGCACGGTCTCAGGCTGCGGAGGGAACTAGAGAGTCAAGTGGCAGAATCCAGGTTGCCCTGGCTGCAAGACAAAGAGCAGCACATGCTGGCACACGGAACAAAAGGGTTTGGGTTGGAAATTAACAGTTACTTAACAGAAAGAGAGTAAATAAATATTCTTGAAGGGTTGTGATGTACATGAATTCCGTATTTCTATAAATCATGCAGCATTTCTCTTTTGTTGGTGGATTGGCACTTTCCAAACAGGTAAATCGGGCGGTGATGTTGCTAAAACATAAAAGGCAAAGACTTTCAAGAGTGGATGTTTAAAGTCGGGGATGAAAGGCCACACTTAAGTGCCTAAACGGGTGTGTAGTTTTCAGAAGTGCTCAACACCAGCATTTATCATCAATGGAAGCTGCTCTGAGTCTCAAGCCTCTGAAAATAGGGCATTGGGTAGGTGCTAGGACATCAGGCTTAACATACATTTTTAAGCACTTGGTCTAGATATTCAGCTCACTATTTGATTGAATGAAAACACTTAGAAAGCTGCAGTCAGTTCCATTAGCCTGTTACGAAATAACTGGTACATTTACTTAAATTTGAAATTATTAATTTAAAATATTTAATGAAATAATTTTAAGGAACAAGCAGAACCATTCTGGTCTTAACTTCACCACTCTGTTGACCTTCTCAAGCATTCAAAGCTGAATTACCTTAACAAATGTTGTGATAGAAGGTTCCTATTAGGTGTTTGACGTTGCAAGCAGAAGCCATGATTTCCATTCCTTGGGAATGGGATGTCAGCCTGAAACCACTTGCACTGCTTAGGACTAAGAAACATTTCATTTTGCCACCATATAACTCTTAAGAAAACAGGCATGTTCTGGAGGCAAATACAGACAAGTGCAACAGTAACGTGCTTCGTATTTGCCATTCACTGCTTTTTCCAGTGTTGGTTCTCAGCTGGTGGGCTTGAGAGGTGGGATGATACCCAAGGCAATCCCCAGCTGGGGAAATCTGGGATCCAGTTCTTAAGATAAACCTCTCCTCCCCCAAAAAGGACCTTAAGTTGGGGTAAAAACTTTCAATCCTGTTTCTTTCTGAAGCAGCCTGTAATTTTCAGTTCTCTCTCTCTCCTTGGAATATCAGCTAAGATCTGCTTTGGTAACGGAGTCCTGTCTGACACAATTTTGGTGTCATGTACCTCGTCACGTAAAGAGGCCTTTGGAAATAACACTTCACACACAGGTGACCCAGCCAAGTTTGCCACATGTTTGACTATAAACAAACATATGGCAGAGATACGTCTTTTTCAAGGAGACAAGCATGGAGGGGAAACCGGAATCATCTTTGAGTTTACCGACATACATTTTACACACCTAAAGCTTCAGTGATCTGGAGTTATTCATTGTACGCATGATTAGGAAGGAAGAAGTCAACTCACCGCTCTCTCTGGAAAGACGAACCTGGGGCCAGCTGTCGATCGGTAAATCTCAGACCTGGCTTCCTTTATGTGGGGGATCATTTGCCAAATGTCCATGATACACAAAGCGCGAAAAATTGGCGACGATATCATATTCAATCGTACCCTCTGAAGAGGTGGAAATTAGACTGAGTGGCATGGTCCTGAGTGTGTAACTTGTGAACTAAGAGCTTGAGATCCCCTTGCAGACCCCGGAGAGCTAGAGCCCCGTCAACACAATCAATCAGCAAGGCCTCCAGAGCTGTTCAGAAGAGCAGGGGTGTCTGCTTTACTGTGACTTGGATAGCCCTCGAAACTCTATGGACTTTATTGACTAGATCACCATGGCCTATAATGGGATCTTGAACACCTAGATTTTATCTAGCACCTCCAAGAAGAGATTAAAATTTAGGAATGTTAAGGTGCGAGCTGAGAGCCACTGCAGCTGTTGATGCTACACTATAGTTCAATGACACTTCTGCTTTTCTTTACCATGCTTTACTGGGGCAACTTACTGCAAAACAAAGCTAAGGAGGAGCTTGTAGCGGATGGTGAGAGCCAAAAATAAATGCGGGACACTGAAGGTGGGAACCTAGCATTTTGTTCTAATGTCTCTGTTCCCACTGAAGGTAGTAGTAGGCGGATAAACTTCTGTTACCTGCAGAAATTTCCATCTGCCTCTGGCAGGGTCAGAGAAGCCACGGGATTCTTCAGGAGATCTGCCACAGTGTTATCCTTCGGCGTCACATAAAAGAAAGGGATTCCAGTGCTGTTATTGACGGGACCGTCACTGAGAAGTAAACAGTTCCCATAGGGCATACCTTGGATCTGCAAAATCCAAATAAGCGTCTGGTTACATCTTTGCACATAGACGGCTTACAATGTCGGGGATTCCCTCAAGGGCTCTAGCAGAGAGGAGAGCAACCCCCAATTGCTCAGTCTCCCACTCTCTCATCGTGAGACAGACCTTCTAAACTAGATCTGTCATGCTTCTATGAAAACAGATCTCTCCTCTATTTCTTCTTTCCTGTCCTGTCCATGACACTATAGAGAACATTTTCTCTTCCACTGAGCTTAAAGGAACTACCAAATTAAAAATGTTTAAGTGCATTAAAATCAATGCTATCAGCGTCAAGAAATGTTTACTCTAAAACAGTGCTGATACCTTTTCTCAAACCCAAAAGGATATAGAGCCTAATTTAGCCTTGATTCAGCCTCCTTTTTACGCTAATTTTGCCTCCCCTTTCAGCCTTGATTTGCAACGTGATTGCATCCTTTTGCCAAGAGAGAGGGAAAGGCGTTTTAGCTGGAGTTGTCTTTAGAGTCAAGCTGGACGTCAGCGCAGCTGCCTGGGCCGCAACCTCAGCTATGGGGGGGTCCCCAGCCCGCAGCCAGCCAGAGCAAACCCTCCGCCCGTGGCAGAGGAGGGGCACCAGGGAGCCAAGTTTTCAAAAAGTTTTCTCCCACACACTGACCTGCGCACACACAGCGGATATAACGCATGCAAAAATATCCTTGCCCAGTAGTGACACACGTTAATATTCTCCATAATGATTCATACTCCTACTATGCTTTTCATCCCATTATAAATTGCAATGACAGACACTTAATGAATTACTATTTTTTCATGTCTCCAGATATTTCTCTCCTCATGGTCAATTAGATGTTAAATGGTAAAATTATCAGTCAACACATTAATTCAATGTAACTGGTAAATCCTTCACAGCAAAATCAAATTAAGTTTGAACAGTTAATAAGAAAACCCCGGATGATGTTATTACCTGGACTGCATGCTTTCTGATTTTTAATGTTTATATGCCTTTAAAATTTTAATGCTTATAGTGCTTATAAATGGTCCTTGTTAGCATTCCTTAGAAGGAATGCTTTAATGAAGCTACATAACTTAGAAACTAAAAATACTTGTTTATTATTAAGAGTTACAATGTAAAAAAACCAGTAGCTGTCAGTAATATTGCAGGACATGTTTCCACTGCGTAAAATGCTCTTTCTGTCATGCATGGTTAACGTTACAGTGGATTCTCAAAAAGAATTGGGATCACAGGCAGCGTAACTCAGCATTCAGAGCAGCAACACCCCCCTCATCAATTCCAAATTTTATTATGAATCCAATTTTTCTGTATTACTTCTGTGTTGTAACTAGAGACAGCTAACTGCAGCCTATATTACGGCTGTAATTCCACCGAGGGTTTCTAGCGAGACCATAAACCAGAAGAGTTAAGATCATATGATTTAATAGGATTTCTGACAAACTGATGTAGAATTACAGGCCTCTCGTGTGTACGTATATATTTATTTAATGGTACCTTTTTTTAACCTGTTGCTTTGTATTTCACAGTAACATAAACTGCTGCTAACTCAGCCAAGCTTTCTGAAGATTAACGTGCTTCTAACTTTGTTGTTTAAACTGTATGTTAATCAATCTGTGGATACTTACAAGAAAAAGTTAAAGCTCTCTTTTCCTTTTTTTTTTTTTTTTTTTTTTTTTCTTTTGCCTGAGCGGTATTGGATGCTGTGTCTAACTCCAACCTTTAAAAAAGGGAAATAATTTAAAGCTGGAAAAAATAATGACCCCGGTTCTCCGGTGCAGCCCAGCTATTTTGCTTAACGCTCCCGACAGCGAAATCGCCCTTGAAGCTGGTGTAGCTGGACCCCTGCCGGACGGACAGATTTTGTGGTAGCCCAGCAGGCTCCCCTCCTCCTCCTCCTCCTCCTCCCCCCCCTCCCCCTCCTCCCCCCCCCTCCCTCCTGCTCGCCGGGCGACAGCCGGAGCCCCGGGGCGGCGGAGGGGCCGGGGCCGGGGCCGGGCTGAGGGTGCTGCCGGGAAGGACAAAGCCCCTCTCCGCACCCAGCGTTGCAGCTCTGCTTCTGGCTTAAAGACTGTGTTTCTCCTGTGCCGCTCCGGTTCGGTTTTTCGGCCTGCCGCCCTGGCTGTGCTCCAAACGTGATTCCTCTTCCCGGGAAGAGCTGTCACTGTTTTCTCCGCGCGTGTGGTGGCTGCTGGCACCGGGGGGCACCGTACCTTGCCTTGGGCGGCCCGCGTAGCCACGAAGCCCCAGGTGTTGTAGCGGGCGAGGAAGCGGGCGGTCCCGGCGCGGCCCGCCGCCCCCCCGCCCTC